GTGTGTTTTCGAGTGCGCGATATTAAATTTTAATAGGTACAATATAATATATAAGTATTTAATTTTTTAAAAAAACAATGAAAAGGGCTAAATAACAATTAAAAGAGCTAAATAAGTTCTTATTTCATTAATTGTATAATTGGAATCAAGTTAAATTAAAAAAAAAATAACAAGTTTACTCAACAATGCAAATATATTTTTAGGTTATATTCGGGGAGGGCGAAATGGCAGCCCAGCGTAAGCGTCAAAATTAATTTTTTTTTAATTTTTGATTTCAATGTAAATTTTAATCTGATTGACGTTACTCTCACATTTATTTAACACTATATATATAATTAAAAATAGTGTTTGTTTCTTTGTTAAAATTAATTAATTTCATTTTCCTCCATATTAGCAATAAATTCTGTATTAAGCAAAAAAAAAAAACCAAAATGGCGAATGAAATAAAAAAGATTATGACTAATATTTTTTAATTTAATTATTGTATAGACTCATCAAAAAAGAATTTCGAATGCATTAAATTTTTAAAAATTATATTAAAAATAAAAATATTTACCTTCTTTATTCTGTAATTATTTTTATGGAAATCTAAGGATTTGCAAGAAAATTTTAGAAATGAGTCATTGTGAATGGTGTAAGAATAAAGAAATATTTTTGTATTACAAAATAAAATAAAATATACAAAAAGCAAGTTTTAAGACTAGCCAAAAATTATAAATTTATAATGATATCTGAAAAAATAAGAAAATTATCGGCATAATGATATAAAATATATGAAAATTATCGGCGTATGAAAATGCTCACATAACACCCGAACAAAGTTAGTCTATGAAGAGATGAAGGGCATTATAGATCAGGAAACTATAAGAGGGTGAAGCTTGCTTTGGTATGGCGGGCGGACCTGTGCAAAAACGAGGACCCTATGGCCGAAGAGAAGCGGTGCAAGGATGACAGAGTTGCTGGCTCTGAGCTAGCGGGATCTCAGTATTGCGGTAGGCATTTTGATCAGATACCCTTTATTGTGAATGGTGGCTAAGAGGTATTTCCTCATCGGATATCTGCCGGGGATGCAAAAATAGTGGCGTGGTGGAGAATGCGCATCACAAACTGTAGCAGCTGGCAGTTTTTGAACCATTTATATTCGGTGGCTAAGTCACGTTCAAAAAGAACCCTGAGGAGTATTTTTCTGTCTATGGAGTCAGTAGCCTTATCTTTTATAAATTATTTATAAATTCATGCTATTCACAAAAGAAATAGTTCATTTTGTCTAAACATATTTACTAAAGTGTTTTGCTTTAATGTAATGCTTATATTTAACGTTTTTAATGGTGCCCTCTATTGTCGAATCATTCAATAAATTGACATCTCTTTGATATTTCAAGGAAATTCAGGAAATTATGTATAATTATTAAAATATATTTTTCATATAATTTTTAAATCTCCGCAAATTATGACAATAGTTTTCAAATTCTTACAAGAAATTTCTAGCACTTTCTACTAAATATTCATTGTATATTGTACAACTACAAAATAAATATTGTCTACATAGTAAAATAACAATGTAAACGTTATACCAAATGAAAAATTTTCATTTAATGTCACGTTTTAAAATTGAAATTAGATGACATTTTAAGAATGTTATGACAAATACTGTATTTTCGTTGTTATTCTATATTAATTTGCAAAGTATATAGGAAATAAGAAAATTATTGTATAACAAATATGTCAAAAGACGGCATATGAAATTTATCTTAGTCATAAAATACACCAAGGTAAGTAAATAAAATAAATATATTCGAGTAAAATTGTAAAAAATTAAAATTGTAAAAAATTATAAAAATTATAAAAATAAAAATATAAAAAATGTCTTTGATTTTAATAGCTTTTCATCCAAATAAATACGTACACACAATTCCTGCTTTTGAAATAATAAAATGTACGAAGAAAATTTTTCATGTGCGCATTTGAAATTCTTCGATTATTCTATACGCAATATTACAGGGTGCGAAGCAATGCGAAGCAAATCGTCATTCAAATGGTAATCTAGAATCTGAGCAGTTAAAAATAATATTCCAGAACTAAACTTCGGGAATAGCTGTTAGGAACAATTTCACAAATTCATGGTCAATTTCAAGAATTACACTGTAGTACTCGATTTAAGCCAATCAGTAACACTTTAAAAAATATAGATTCTTTCTCTATATCTTCTGATCCCCTCGCAAGCTAATCTCTTTAGATATTCTAATTATAAACCCAAATTTACTAAGAAACTCTAGCCCATAACTATTGCCATGGCCCTAAAAAATATCTTAATCATTTAATCATCCTGTACACATCATAGTTTATAATAATTTAAAAAAAATATAAAATATGCGAATTGCATAATATAGTTTTTAAACACAACACTTTTCAAGTAGAGAATTTGCATGGAAATTATTGGGTTCCTGCATTTTGTTTTTTATAGGTGACAACCAAATAGTTCTATTCAATATTCTGTGTAGTAATATCCATATGAGTCATTTTAACATTATATTAAGATGTTTTTGGGTCAGCGTTTATTAGGTGTAATGCAAATTAATTAATTAGTTTATATTTTTATTTGTGATTATTGTTCGTGTTTTTACATGTTGTCATGTCTTTGATTTTTTATGTGTTTTGAATTTGGTGCGATTATTATTGTTTAAAGACCTTTTATATTATATAAATTTTGATGTCACTTTGACATATTTACTATATGAGAATGAAATTTATAAAAAAATTTTAGTTTACATTTTTCTAGAAAATAAATTATTAATTGTGTAAATTCTATTGTGCGACATAGTTTTATACAATGACAAAGGATTAAAGTGTAATTTTGACATAAAAAAAAATGTTCTATTTTATTCTATTATAATTTCGTTTTAGTTAAATTCTTTATTTAAATAAAAGTTTAAGAAATTTTCTTCAAAACAAAAATCTATCTCTTCCAGTTTAATTAAAAAATGTGTTAAAAAATTCAACGATTTCCATCAAAGCTTTGCAATCGCGCCGCTAGTAAATGATTATATAAATTAATTTTTATGCTCTCAAGAAATTTCGAATCTCTCTCATTATTTACAAGAAATTTTATATTTAATGGAAGAAAACTGATTGAAAATATTAAAAAATTTTGAATTTCTTTCGTGTTTGCATTTCAAATTTTAAACAGAAAACTCAAAAATCCTTAACACACGTTCAATTCAATATAAGTGATTGATTATGATAATTTTGTTAAATTGCTTATGCTAAACATGGAAAATTTTCTAATAAATCTTAAAAGTTAAAATCTATATTTATTTTTAACATTATACTTATGAAGAAATCCCCAGAAGAATACCACATGTCGCAAATATACAACTAATATAAAATTAAATAACCTTGAAAAAAAGTATAAGTGAATACCGAAAAAGAAAAAAAATTAATTAATTAATATATATATGTATATATATCAGTATGTATGCACAAATAAATAAGCTAGCTGTATTTCATCAATAAAATAAATTCATCACTATCACCCCCATGGAATTTTCTAATTAATTTTCATGAGGAATACAATATTTTTGTATATAAGGAAAAATTTAAAGAAAATGGAATTAATATAAAAGGAAAACAAAATTTATACATGACTTTCAAGGTGGCCACACCAAATTTGTATATAACAAGAATTGCGTAAATTTTTATTAATAAACAAGGAAGTGCATTAGAAGCATTTGTAAATTTTTTTTTATTATTTTTGTATATTTTTCTTTTTTTTTGAAATATTTAGTGATCATTTGACATATGCTTTGTCTAACAGCTTAGCAACTACACAAAATATTTTTCAGAATATATTCGACTGTATAAACAAAACTCAATAGGTGTCGCTTTGTATATTGCGCTTAATAATCATTAATCAAGTGAAATCAAGTGAATTAAACCGGGTTTTTTTAAATTTCTGTCGAGCAAGGAATAAGTTTGATGTATAATGATACTGCTAGTAAAGTATTGGATATTGCCAATTTGGGAATTGACAAAAAAACCAACTATATCAATTCGGATATGATTCGGATGAGATTGCAGAAGATATGCTTGACGATTGCGTGAAAGTCGTTTAACTGATTCAGTATTTGTGTGGCCTTCGATTTATAAATGCCAGTCCTTAGACACTTTTATTAAGAGAAATATTTTAGTGATATATTACAAAGAACGTTATTATAAAAATTTAACCAATTTTCGATTGACACAAACCTAGGTTAACTTTGATTAGGTAAGGCTAAGGCGACCTCTATTAATAAATTCAGTTAAACCTAGTATGAATACAAGTTTCAGGTGTGAATTCTAGTTTATTTGTCATGTACTTGTTAAGATTCTTTATACTTATCATTCATTAAATCTATAATAGAATAACGACAACAAGAATTTTGGTTTCCACCATCTTAGGACTGATATCAAGCTATAGAAAAAGGTCACGACCTCCTCTTCACTTTACGGCATCACGACAGTCTGTAGAAATCATTTAGACTAAACTGCACTAGTATCTATTCGTTGAATCGATATAAGTCTCATTATTCCAAGCACGCCTAACCTTGGCTATATGGCCTAACCTTTCTAGCTTGACAACATTAACGGTAAACTATTTTTTATACCATTTTATAAATAACACTGTGGGTGGCCAATTAAATTAAAAAATTTTTTGTTTATTTTGTTTCAATTTTTTTTCTCAGAAAATCAGGATTACCCATCCAATTATTTTTCCATAAAAATTACTAATTTTACTCGCTCACTTTTATTTTCTATTTCTCTTTTTTTTTTTTGTTTTTATTTTTCGTTTATGGAATTAATTTGTTATTTTATTTAATTGATTTTTTATAGTTTCATTTGTTTTATGTTTTTTTTTAATATGAACTCTTTCAGTATTTAATTAGTCTTTAGAGATTAAATTGTAACAATAGAATCACTAGTTCTGAACAAAAGCAAAATAAGTTCGCAATTAAAATTTTTACCTTTTTATAAAAAAAAAGCAAAACATTAATTTTTAAACTTTATATTTGAGTTTACAAAAAAAAAACCACATGAATTTTTATGTACAGTCATACCGTATACCGTCATACTATTTTAAATAAGAAGACAACAAAAAAAACAACTAGTAAACAATTAGATTAGTTGAACTACTAACTACTGCATTTTAGTAACGCTTCGTTAAATATTTTACTACAAAGAGCTATTTAACGCGCTTATATTATAAAAAACAATAACAAGAAAAAAAAAGAGCAGAAATAAATTTTATAAGAGTTGATTATTTACAAAGTCAAGGTTATCATTTTATTTTTATTGGATTTGATTTTCTTTTTTCTTTTTTTTTTTTAAATTAGCGCAAGACACAATTTTAAGAAATACGTAAATATAGAGTAGTAGAAGGCACAATATTTCATTGAGTGTACAATTTACTATCACTGTCAAGTTCGTTTGATGGTGACTGCTATAGCATTTCTTAATTGTCAATATCAAGGATGGGGCCATCTCAAATTATGACAACTTATTAATTGGTATCGATAAAGACTACATTTCGTTAAAACAAAAATATTTCTGACTTCTTCAAATAAGTGAGGTTATTAATCTCCTCCAGCCTTGACTAAACCCAGTTCTAACCCCCTGAACAGCCAAATTTTGCAAATTTTTATGTGAAGCTTAAAAGCTTTCTGGTTTTTAGCTTCATCCTTACACTATGCAATATTACATAAAACTTTTTTTAAAGGCAGTTCTAATATGTACCAGCTCAACCAAATTTTCTATTAATAATTCTTCATTATTTTCATATAAAGAATTTATAATTTATATTTGAGGAATTGTTATACAAATTTAAAAAAATTAATTTGACATCAAGTTTAATAATAAAAATTTTCATAACTACTAATTAAAAAATTTCAACTGTTTAACAACTGCTGTCAAAAAATGAACAGATTTTTATTAAATTTCCCAAAGGAAAAACAAAGAGTAATTAATTGTCAGGATAAAAATTTGATAAAATAGTTATTATTAATTTATTAATTTGATTGAAAATATCATTAAAATTTGATTCGGCGAAAACATTGCATCTAATATTAAATTTCTTTGACAAGACTGACATTTGATGAAAACAATATAGAAAATCGCATTAATATTATATGTCATGTTATCTTTGACACATTGAGTTTTTTTTTTTTCTTAGTGAAGAATTAATGGAAGTGTCAAAATATAAGATGATTTTAGTTTTTTTTATTATAAAACAAATTTTAGCGAATTGCAATTAACAATTTTATTAACTTGCAAAATTAAAATACAATTTTAAATTACGAACACTCTGTATATGAAAAAATAATTCAATTTAATTTATTTTAAAATCGCAAAAATAAATTAATTAATTAAAATGTGTAAGTATTTATTATTATGATGAGTTTTATTTTAAAATTTCCATAAATAATTCTGTGGTGAGCATTCAAAGTAGCATAAATCCATTTTTTTTTTAAATAATATTATTTGATAAATGTAATGAACAAAACTCGTGCTCCAGGTTCTGCAAAAATAATATAAACAAATTGCATTTAGAACCCCTTTAAAATTTAATTGATGAAATTAGTATATAACCGAAACCATTACAAACCGCAACTGTTACTACCACAATAATGTTGGTTGTTGCTGCTTTATAAATTTGCATTGGTACTTTTTTGACCACAAAGATGAATCGCAGTTCTTTTAACTGAGCGCATTGCATACTATAGCGAGCCTGGACCAGATCAGTATCTTAAATTCGACTTCGTTTTAAGAAAACAATCAGGGGATTTCCCTAAAACTTTATACATAAGTTTAAACTAATAGTTGGCTGAATTGAAATGACCGCAACTCAAATGAGAAAATAAGCCCCCGTTCTTTCAATTTCTAAAAATTTAGCAAACCCAATTGATGTCTAAAAACATTAATCTTCTGCATGAATTGCTAGATTATACGCAACTCTATAATTTTATTCAGTTTTTTCTTTTTCTTGAAAATTTTACTTTTGGAATTATACTCTTTTGAACGCCCACCACAGAATTATTATATTAAATTTTTTCACTCAAATTCACATACACCACACTATGCATATGCACATATACATATTCATATATGGCATTATGAACCTACAGACATACATTTTATTTGTGTTTTAAATGTGATAATATTATTTTTTTTCAAGTTCATTAATACAATGCAATTTTTATAATAAATAAATATACAAAATAAAATGCAGTAAATTAAAATAATAGAAAAAATAAGAAAAATTAAAACAACAAAAACAAAAAGAGTGAAGGAGCAAACAATGAAAAATTTTTAAGCTAAAGCTTTAAAAAAAGAAGCAAAAGAAGAAGAACTGGACAGAAAATGCATCAAGAATTAAAATTTATTTGATTCACTCGAATAAACATCAAAGACCATTTGATTTATTAATTGTGTTGCGTACTATATATGTACTTTTAATATAATATACGTGTATACTTGAATGTGTAATGTACAGCGATCTACGTATATGCATATATAAATTACAATTATAATTCATAGATGGCATTTTTAAAGTTTATTATTCGCGCGCTTTATATAAAATATAATTCGCTTTGTTTTAAACATTGGAAAATTTTATTCTTTCATAGAATTTGAACTTTTCTAAAGATTTAGATTACGATTTATTACATTAGTATACAATGCTATGCTTGAATGTATATGCTTAAAAGTATACATATATAATATTAAAATTTATCTATAATCAGTATTATAATTATGTGTTTGTATGTGTGTATGTATTTACGCTTCTATTCTATAATAACAATATATTAAAGGGTGATTAACGAGATGTCCTGGAATTGTATATTTTATTTTTCTCTGTGTTTTAATTTTTTATTGTCCAATTATGGTAATGCACTTTGGATTAACTCTTTTTCAATATATATATATTGTACGAGTATATTTGAGAATTGTAACAAATTTTGAAATAGTCTCTTTTTGCAATTTATTTATATATATATAGAAATATACTGAATCAGAAATATAAGGGTTGCTGTCTCTGAAAGTATTAAGGAAAAATTTAATATAAAAGTATGCAAATTTTGAAATATTTCAAATTCAAATGGTTTCTAATGCAATTCATTTAAGTACTGTGATACGAAAATATCATATTATCCACATACAGTCCAACTCCCTTGATTTGACACCTATTTAGGTATGTCTCCCTAACACCTATTTAGATATGTTTTTTTAAAATTTGAACCTCCAAAAGCATTTTCAAATTTGTTCGTGCTGAAATTCCTTTGAGTGTACAAAATTTACTTCTTTGAGACTTTTGCAAAGAAAGAATAAACGGTAACTCTAATTCTTATATTGGTATACATATATATTATATACTAATGAAAATAGAAATTATAATGATTATATCAAGGATTTTGAAAAAGGGCAACAAAAATGTGTGTAAAAGTAATTGCTTTAAAGTATAGGATAAAAGATTGCATTACTTAGCGGTTATATAATCAAAAATTGGTTTTTTTTTCGTATATTACACAATAGCAATTCTTTAAAGATCTTAAATAATATTTTTCTAATTAATATTAATTATAAATGAATTAAAAATAAATTTTGTGCAAAAAGTTGAAATAAAAATAAAGAATAAATAATAATTTGAATAATTAAATGTTAAGCATCGTTAAACTACATATAGATTGTTTTTTCCATTTATGTAGTTTAATGATGTGCACCGCGGAAAAATCAAAGATATTAAAATGTCCTTTGAAAATTTTAAAGTTCTACAATAACCGTAATGAATAAAAGCATGTCAATCATTGAAAAAATGATGGTTTTCAGTAAGTTAACGGAATTATGCGACATAATTTTTATATATTAAATTTTTTACATGGAAATAACTACTAAAATTTTACAGAAAACAAGTTCATGTCTGTCTGGAACGGGAAATATAAGGAGAAAGAACCGAAAACGAACCTATGTCTGTCTGGAACGCGAAACATAGGGTAAAAGAACAAAAAACGAATTTGTGTCTGTCTGGAACGCGAAATATACGGAAAAAGAATAGAAAACGAATTTTTGTCTGCCTAGAACCCGAAATAGAAATAAAAGGAATAGATAACGAATTTATGTCTATCTGGAACGCGAAATTTAAGGAAAAAGAACAGAAAACAAGTTCATGTCTGTCTGGAACGGGAAATATAAGGAGAAAGAACCGAAAACGAACCTATGTCTGTCTGGAACGCGAAACATAGGGTAAAAGAACAAAAAACGAATTTGTGTCTGTCTGGAATGCGAAAGATATAGGGTAAAAGAACAGAAAACTAATTTATGTCTGTCTGAAGCGCGAAACATGTACGGAAAAAGAATTGAAACAAATTTGTGTCTGTCTGGAACGCGAAAGATAGGGTAAAATAACAAGAAAACGAATTTGTGTCTGTCTGGAACGCGAATTTTTGTCTGCCTAGAACCCGAAATAGAAGTAAAAGGAATAGATAACGAATTTATGTCTATCTGGAACGCGAAATTTAAGGAAAAGGAAGAGAAAACGATTTTATGCCTATCTGGAAAGCGAAATTTAAGGAAAAGGAAGAGAAAACGATTTTATGTCTGTCTGGAACGCGAAATATATAGGGTAAAAGAACAGAAAACGAACTTATTTCTATCTGGAACAGGAAATATAAGGAAAAAAACCGAAAATGAAATTATCTTGCTCTGGGATGCAAAATGTATGAAAATTGCGTAGAATTTTTATTTATACGTCTGTCAAGAACGCAAAATATGTATATGATGTATATGTAAGTTTCACTATTACTCTACTACGTTCTGTTGTTCTACACTGAACCTTTAATATCACCAAATCACTGAAAATTTCATTTAATCAATTTATGATTGAGGAACTCATTAAAAATTTTACAACTTCTGAAACTATTAATTTTCAAAAAAAGACGTCTATGTCAGAATATCAACAATCCAATTAAAATAATATTAAAAATTTTCTAAGCTGATAATGAAAATATTATTCTGTGATTGGAATCAGTAATTGCGAGAAAACGCCTTCACATATGATTACATGGACATATTCAGAATATTATTTTTCATATACGTGTACACACATACA